CCCCCCCCCGATGATTGTGGGGCCCTTCGGAAGCATCCAGAACACGGAAAAGAACCATCCGGCAGATGAGTTACTTCGGAGTTTGAGCGCATCTCTTGGTGAAGGCCCCTCCCCAAAGGAGACTCTCAAACAAGATCCTCAAATGCAGGGTTCCTCCAACTCAGCGACTTTGAGAGGGGTGGACGTCAACTCCCAGAATTCCCCAGCCAGCCATGTTGCTGAGGTTGAGGAACCCTGCTCAAATGGATCAGATGGGACGTGGCTCATCTTTCTGGAGAGCGAGCTGCCCCTCCAGGCTCTCTCCATTGTGCCCCACCAACTTCCCCAGAAGAGGCGGCAGATCCATGAAATGCCAACCCGGGGATCCCAGGACACCCGCTTATACAACAGCCTCCCTCCCAAGATCCAGAGGACCCCCAACCCTCCCAGGTCATGAGGAGCTGGCTCTTCCCCCAGGCGCTGGGCCAGATGCCCGTTGAGCCCAGTGGAGCAGTAGTTGTGTTGTGAGTCTGTTACGGTGCCTCAGCTACTGTATCATTAACTTTAATTCGCATTTTGCAATTAGAGGTTTTATTAAATACATTTTAATAGATTTGATGGCACGTAATCAATCCATTGACCATTACCCACCCAGGTTATGTACATCAGATGGGTGGCCGTGCCAATTCTCTAAACAAAAAGACATTCACTCATGTGTTGCAGTCCTCCAAGGAGCTCACGGGCTCCCCAAATGGTTGACTGCTACATGAAGCAGAGGGTGAGCAGACATACCATTGCAAAGGCTTTGGGGAGCTCAGATATATGACAATTGTGTGGCAAGACTTCACCTGAAGAATTCTTGGACGGATTCTTACTGCCGTTTTAATTCTCAAATTATCCTAAGTTTCTCTCCTTCATGAGGTCCAGGTAAGCAGCAAAGCCCTCCAAGGGCTTCCTCAAGTCAAGAAAGATTCATTCCAGTCTGTTGAAGCAGCATTACAGGTGAAGTGGGGACCCGCTTGGAAGCCGAGGGCTGCAAAGGTTCTGGGGTTGCAGGAGGCAACGCAGCACTGCAGATATTACACAATGGGCCCTCCAGCATGACGAACGAGACGCATTATCCTCCCGAACTTTCTGGCTGTTTGAGCTCCTTCAAAGTGGCAAGGCTAACACTCTTTGGGCTCCCTCCAGGGGCTCAGCCCTCCACGTCCTGAAGGGCCTGGCCACCAGCTCCCACTTGGCTTCCCTTGTCTACCGGTCCCACAGCACAGCTGCAAAGTTCTGCTCTCAGCTCCTGAGTGGGCAGCCTTGGGCCAAATCTTACGCTAAGTTCTGCAACACTGGGGGAGGTTTACAGATGAACAAGGGAAGAATCAGTGCCAGGCTGAGGCTAACCCTTCAAGGCACCGCCCCAAATGCTGCGTTAACAAGAAGTGGGCGGCAAGGCCACGTGTGCAATTCCCCATGTGACAGCCCTCTTCTCCACGGCACACCTGTCTCAGTGCACCAGGCAGCTTCTCCCGCCCCTGTTCAGCGCTGCCAAAAAGCCACAAGCACATCTGCTCAGAACACACAAGCTCCAGGAAAGCAACTTTCTACAGGTTTTGAAAATGTTGCCTCGCCACGTTCTTTCAGTGACCAGTTCGGGTTCTTTGGACAATTTTCAGGCTGCAGGGCTGCCCTCCCCTCACTCCTGCCATCGCCACTTCAAGAGGGCAAGGAGGATGCCTCATGCTGAATGCAGCACAACCTGGGGGGCACGAAGCTGAAGGCTGGCAGCCCCGAGTGCCTTTAAAGGACCTCCCAGCCCTGCCACTTTCGTCCCATTGGGGCAGAGCAACAGCAGCTGTTCTGAGCCTTCCTGATTACGGCCTACAAACCCACCCCCACAGAAAATGGAAGGCACGAATCAAATCACACCCTCTTCTCCCCACTCAAAAGAAAAGCAATATATCGTGCTGGCATGTTAGCCTCCTAAATATTTGGAAGTTTGAAATGTCCAAATGAATCACACCACAAGGTTTCAGAAAACCCCCCTTAGTAACTGCACCGTGCTTGAGGTCCCCCTCAGAGACAAATGGCGGATGATTTGGGGCTCACAGAGCTCAGTTCAGCACCTCTGATGCCCCCGAAGAGGTTTGGAATTGATTCAACCTCTCCAACTGTTGCGTTCTCCCCAGTGCTGTGCATTCAATCCACAAGGCCTCAGAGCTTGATGGGGCGTCCGCCGGGCGACTCCCAGCCCTTCCCTAACGTTGGACACTGGGGACCGGGTGCAGCCGATGCCTTCCGCCCTCATCTCTGGGGATGTGGAAGGGATCCATGGCTAAGCGTCTTCACCGCAGCTGCTCGCATGGCCCTCCACCTCGGAGGCAGGAAAAGAGACTTGGCAGATGGGGCAGTCCACCCAGGCTTCCCACAGGGGCGATGAAGAAGCCCTCGCCGTGCCCACCTCTTCTCCGCAGCCAGAGGCATGAACTGGCAAGACCTGGGCAGGGAAACGACCTGTAGGGGAAGAAAGTGAAGGGTAGCAGGTGCCACCCTCTTCCCACCACAAGCCGCTCTGGGGATTCCCGAGATCCAGCGTGGCTCCCAAGGCACACAGGCAGGGCGCCCACCTCTCCACGCCCACAGGACACGCTCAACGTTTGCAGGGAACTCGAGAAGGCGGGGGCAAGGCAATTCTGCAAACGCCACGGGGGGATTTAGAGAAGAAAATTCCTAAGCCTACTTTAGGGCTTGTCAGAGTTCCTTTCACACGCACATAGCCCAGCCTACCCCACAGAGAGGCTGCTGTGAGGAAAAAGAGGAAAAGCCGCCCATTTAGGCCGCCTTGAGCTCCTGTGTGAAAGGCGGGGCACCATTCTAATAGATAGATATAAAAAAACACCAATTTTCTAGATGTCAACCCCAAACTCACAGCCCTGCCCACCCTGGCATTACAGAAGTGGGGGGCTGGAGGCACAGTGTCCCACCCGCCGGGCGTCTCCTCTGTCCTTGCCACCTGCTGGGCTTCTCATGGTCCTCTTGGGTCCTTTCTGGGGTCTGGCTCACCAGCACAGATTGGGCAGGTGCCCAGCGCAGCATCTCCTTCTCCGGACATGCTCTCTTCTTCCTCCTCCTCCTCCTCTCCATCTTCCCTGGTCCGTGGCTTTCCTCTCTGGCCGTGGGCTCTTCCCACCCTTCGAGAACTATTCCTAGGTCTGAAGAAGAAACCTATTTAAAAGGTTAAAAGCCCCCCTTACCGTCATGTACCGACAGCTTGGGTTATCGGGGTGGGTGGCCTCTCCCTTCCAATCCTCCTATCCCGGCTCAGGTCAGAGATCGGAGCCCTCTTGCAGCCCCCCTGGAGGTCAGCCGTCGTAAGCAGGGACCTCCCAGCCAAGTTTTCCCATCAGCCACCTGCTTCTCGACTCTGCTGGCTGGGAGTCCTGAGAGGGGCAGGCGGTGGACGGTGGCAGTGAATCCAAACTCCCCGAAGCGAGACCTTTTGCAGTGACATGCTTAGGGGAGCCAACTAGGTGACAAACACTCATCAAGGAAGCAGCCCCCTTTTCATCAAGCTCTGGAGACAACGGAGCCCGTCTTGTGCCCGAGCACCCCCTGGGGCGCCCCTGCCCCGCCCCCTCCTGATGAGCAGAACCCCCGGGGCCTCAGCGCAAGGCTGTCTCCCCTTTTCCTGAAAAGGAGGCGCTCTTAGGCCCTCCTCCCAGAGGAGGAGAAACCGCTTCCTTTCAAGGGTTCGCCTGCGCAGGCCACAGCCTCTGATCTCATCCTTTGACGCTGAAGCGCTCCAGCCACGGTGGGCTTCGCATCTGAGAAGGATTCTGCATTTAGGGAAAGGGCCCTTCCTCAGTTTCCCCAGGCAGTAATTTTGCAGGGGGAGGGAGGCAGGCAGATGGGTGGGGGAGAAGACCAGAAAATAAATCCACGAGAACCCCCTGGGCTCAAGCAGCCTTTCCCCCAATCCCACAGTCCCAACCTCGTTCCCCGGACAGTCAACACCAGAATCAAATCTGTTGGGAAAGTCATGAACTCCTCACTTACTTATTCACTAGGGCTGATCAGGACCTTGAGCAGCGCGTACCGTTTGGCCCTGACTTCTGGCCCCTCACCCCCGTGGAACTGAATGAACGCAGACCTACACGCTCAGCCGTGCAAACTGGCCCGTCTGCCCCCCGCCCTTCCCGGTGCCAATTCTCCCCGCATCAGCAACCATCTTTTGCATCGTGTAGCGAGCCCTAACAGGCCTGCCAGAAAGCCAATGGGGAGGAGGAGAAGCAGGAATCCAGGCACAGGCACATCACCTCCCCCTGCTGCTGTGGGACCCAGGTCTTCTCTTCGTTTTCATGCGACTGCTCCTTGCTGACTGCTCCTGTTTGGGCCCTGCGGGATAAAACAAGCCGGCAACATAAATCACCCGGGAACAGCTTGCCAGTTAAAGAGCAGCCTGCGGAGATCAGGGTGATTTTCAGGATCCCACAACAGAAGGGATCGTCAGCAGGGAACTTCAGGGGCCCTGCCAGGCACAGCTGTGGCATCAACCCTTAGCTGTACTTTCTGAAGATGAAACAAGTTTATTACAAAGGGGTGGAGGTAAAAATGTTTTTATCCAAGCCTTTTCATTTTTATACTTCTGGTTTGAGGGGTTCTTAAAAAAATAAAGAATTAACTGTTTCATTTTCTAGCATTTTTGTGAGCTGCCCCGAACCAATAAGGACAGGGGTACCACATCGATTTCTGAATATATAAAAAATATAGTGAGCCAAAGGCCCAAGAGGCCGCAGCACCCCACGGACCGTACGTGATCTTGAAAAAGCTCCACAGGGCCAGCCCTGGCTTGCAGTTGGGTGCAAGGCCAACAGGAAGCCCCGGGTGGGGTTCTGGACAAATCTGGAAGTCGAAAAGCATCTTGGAACCAGGGAAGGCAAGACGCCTCACTCGTTGCCAAGTCTGACGTGGGGGAACCTTTGCAAGCACACCATCTCAAAGAAGAGACCCACTCAGCTCAAGTCCTTGGGCCCCACCACCATGTTGTGCACAAACGGAGATCTGACAGATTGCGCAACGAAGGGGGGTCCTGAGCCAGGAGCTGTTACCCACAGGGAGGCCAGAACATTGCCCTGGACCCTATTTTGCCACCCTGAGCCCCCACCCAAACTCCACCACCAATGAGGCCCAACATTTAAGCCATAAGCCAGCAGTCATCCACTTGGATGCTCCCTCAAATGTATTAATTTGTAGTGATCACGCTGACCGAGAATGATGGTGGGAGCCAAATTCAACATTCTGGAAGGCACCAAGTTAGCAAAAACTTCCCTCTGGAACAACAGCTGCAGTGGAAGGCATGATTTTAAATGTCAAAGAACTGCAGCAGAAAGATTTAAAACCTAATATTCTATGAGTTCCTGTAGATTTGCCCACAACCTCAGTGATTTCACAGAGGTTTTGAGAGCGCCAGACCGAAAGCAGGTTTGTAAAATCCCACCGTTCCTCTGCGCTCCCGTCCCCGTTTTTCTGAGGAAAGCAACCTCTGCTAATGTCATGATTCTGGGCAGGAAGCCTGTTCACCGCTCTAACTGGCACCTTTGGGCGAAGCCCGCGTGGCTCCCCTGCCCTCCAGTGGCCGCCCAGAGCATCTCTTCCTGGCTCAGCCTCACCCAACCCTCACCCGGTGCGCTGGGGCGCTCGGCTGCACGCTGGGCCCGCCCAGCCTTTCGACTCCTTGCAGCGGGTGGCGGAGAGCCAGTTGGCAGGAGAGGGGCTCGCTTGCGGACAGAGGCTGCAGCCTCCAGGACCAGCCGGGCTGGGCGGCTCAGGCAAGGGGGGCTCAGCCCCTTGTGGTGGGAAGCCTGGTCGAGCCGATGCAGCTGACTCTTGAGCAGCGTTTCCTCCTCGGTGCTAGGCCTGGAGAGAGGAAAGCAAGGAATCCTGGGTGAAGTACGGGGTGGGTTCTTACCCAAACCGAGTGGGCAGAGCTCTGCTTCCCCGACATTTCAGGGAGCTGCTTAAGATACGATTCCACCTCTCCACGACAACAGTGGCAAAGCAGCCAGAGCAGCCCACCACAAAGACGGGTACTTACGACGGCCCTGCCGGGAAGAATGTCCCACCAAAGGCTGCCCTGGAGGGCCACGGCTTTGCTTGAGACTCAGGAGAAGCCTAGGAGGGATGCAGAGAAAGGAATTTACTCAGCAGAGGCATGCCTTGGGAATACAAAATGTTAAAAAGAAGGCAAAGGACAAGGAGTAAAGCCCTTCTGGTAGATGTTTGCCCCAGTCAAACTGCTCTGGGGAGGAGAGAGAAGAATCTCGCCTAAAAGCTACCTCCCAGAATAGGTAAGAACTACAGTAACCAAAATAAAAGGGTCACCTCCTCCCTCAACGAAAGCCAAAACTACTGAAGGCACATTCTAAAAAGGCCTTGTGAGAGTTCCTGAAAAACCAGGGGGGGGGGGCAAGTGTCTCACCAGGCCTCCCAGAGGAAGAGCCTGCCTTCTGACCCACACCCCTCTTGCTCGAGCAAGGCCCTCACTGAGGATCCCGCAGGACGGCTGGATCGTTACGGACAAGGCGGCCCCAAGTTGGGCTTGAAGGGGGATAACCAGCAACTTGATTTGGGCTGGGAAAATAGGTGTGACTCTGCAACTGTTACCAGCAATCTAGACAGTTGTAGCTTCCAAGTTGTTTCCAGAGCCAGCCCCAACAGAGTGAGGGCAGGAACCCAACCCCGGGGTGACGAAGGCAGGAATCCGCCTCACCAGCCTCCTGGTCCCGGTACAGTTGGCGGGCACTGGGCAAAGGTCCCCTATACAACTAACAGCTGAAGCTGGGCAAAGGTTTCCCCGGCTACAGACTCCAGCTGCTGTTCAAGAAGGAGCCGTGAACGGGCTGATGGTCCCGAAGTCACAGACCAGCTCCTTCAGGAAGAGGGCACTTCTGTCCATTCGCAACTGGTGCTTCAGAGAGGCAAACGTTGTACGGGCAAACAGCAGCTACTACAATGTATTGTCGAAGGCTTTCACGGCCAGCATACGATGGCTGGTGTGGGTCTTCCGGGCTGTGTGGCCGTGGTCTTGAAGTTTTGTTTCCTAACGTTTTGCCAGCACTTGTGACTGGCATCTTACAGCAACCAGAAAAATCTGCGGTAGCTGAACATGCTCTCAAGCACACTGGACACAAAATCCTATTTAAAAACACAGAAAAACGGGACAACACCAACAGCCACTATAC